AATAGAAAGCTAAGTATATACATTTTCGTACAATCATGTTATTATATTTATTAAATTAAATCCATTTAAACTCTAAATATTATAATGTTAATTTAGTAATTTTATTAAATCCATTATTTTAACAATATATTACTTATTCAATTTATTAATATGTATTTTAAAATACACTTAAATAAATAATTTTTAATTTATACAATATATAAAAGTACGTGTAATTATAAATACTAATTGCATTAATATTAATGATCTAATAACATTTTATGAAAGCATGCCATTCATCTTGGAATTGTATAAGCCCAAGGCTAAAGAAAATGGAAATATTGAATTATAACAACTATAAGCAAAAGCAATTTAAAATATAATGTTTACATTCCTTATACAATAAATTAAGATGTCTAATATGGTTACATGAATATCTCTTTCACAGCAGTTCATAGTAATAAGATAAATAGTTAAAATAAACGAAATAAAAATTATATGGGGTTAACCTCCTCTGGACAACTCTAATGATATTGATCTTATTTATTTGAAATAATTACATAAGAAAATGAGCTACACTATCTCACTAATAATATCATACTTATTATTGATACGAAAAACTGAAAGTTGGTAAAAAATTATAAAACAACCAAAGGAGTACTTTACTTTCTTAAATAAATGCATTTAACGTAAAAATTGTTATTCTATACTTACCCATATGAATTTCCAAAACTAATATATGAAAATAATAACTCGAATAATATTATGATTTCATATCCAAATGAGTAATAATAACAACTTACCTTTTTACCTGTTTACCAGTACCTCTAGGGTCAATAGGGGATCTCCCCAATGTGTGGGCCCAATATCCAGGTTATCAATTAACTAGCTATCCCCATACCCTGTCCGGTAATGGACCAAACATACCACCACTCCAATACCCCGTCCGGTACGAGAGTGAATTATTCCTCTCAACCTCTTACAGTATGAGATTTCTCAGCCCCATTCGACTGATGTAATGCCCACGGTAGAATTTTTCCTATGCACGGGGTCCGTGCACCCTTCCCCAAGTTATCCGATAAACTTTTCATACATAGGTTCACATCATCAACTAATTACCAAACACATACCAACATCACACTTTTACCAATTAACAGTAAGTCATGTAAATAGATAATATGTAATCCAGAAAACATGATTAGAACATTTAAAGTACACGATATAACAACAAACATTTTAGGCAGTGTAGGAAAAAATAATCAACATGCTAAAATAAATATTCATTGACCGGTTCCGGTTCCACTAATAACCTATAATTAATTTTAAGATTTTTTAATTTTTACAAAACACAACATTATTGATTATTAAGCTTCAATTTACTATAATGGAGAAAAGATAAGGGACTCTTACCTTGGATCAGTGTTCGAAATACCGTACTCTTCACTGCGTCTTCTGGCGGTCCCCGAATTTCCTGAATTTTTAATGCAGAAATCAAAAATACCCGTCACGTATCTAAAAATACCCCAAAAGATGTTTTGAAACTTTTTCATCCAATTTAGGGATTGGCGGCGCCGGCTTCGCTACCCACGGTAACGGTTCCTCTTAGCCTGACCTTTTTCAACTGGTTTAGGCCAATTTTAGCCGATTTTGCATGGAAACTTGCAAAAAATCAAGTTAGGGGGCCTTTGTTGATAAGAAAAGGTAAAAATCGAAGCCCTACTGGCAGGAGGGTCTTCAGGTGCGACGACTCCACTGTTCCTCCTTCGTGGGCGGGGTTCTCATTTGGCTAACCTGCACTAGAAAATGACGAGGAACACAACGGTTAAAAAATCGCGGGAAACAAGAAGTGGGAAGTGGGTCATCGAAGGAGTTTTTAGATTTTGGGCAGCTCGGCCGAGCTTCACTCATATTTTTTGGCTTACTCGTTGGCCTTTCAGTTTCGATATGGGCATAGAGAGATTCGAGATTAAATTTTGAACGAAAAAGGGGAAAAAATACTTGTTTGACATTAGCAGTGGCTCCGGTGCAGCGACGATGGTGGCCGGTCTCATTTTATGGCATCTGGTTCTTTCCTCGGCCCGCCTTCTTCTTTTTCTTCGGTCACTCCTCTATCGACTAAGATTTTGGTTCCCTGCGAAGAGGAGTTTAAATATTCCTCTTCATTCGATTCAAGCTGTCCGTTTGAGTCGACGTAGAGCGAGGAGAACTGTCCAATCGTTGCCTGTTTAGGCTGATTACGTATGCGAATCAAGACTGTCTATCACGATTAATCCCACCCGTCCAATCGTGTCTGAAGATGAAATAGATTCGGACCGTTCATGCGCGCGGGATGCAATCTACACCGTTGAATTACCCAAGCACGCGGATCGCCCACTTGGTGCCGATATCATTGTCCGTCACGTGACTGGTTTTGACTCGCTATGGCTGCTGACAGGTTCATCCGACGTTGCAGAATTTTTTTGTGTGATTTTACCTCATGTTTTTAGATTTCTTTTTAGCAATGCTCACTCTTACTCCGTCTTTCCCTACCTTTTTTTTTAGATTGATTTTCAGTTTCTTTTTTATGTCCATTTTTTTCAAAAATGTATAAAATAAATAAAATAAAATAATTTAAATATATAATTTATAAATTATAAAATTATCTAAGCCAAATTTCCCGGAGTCTGTGTTACAGGAACTCAGTCAAAGTAACTTCACCTCCCCCATTTTCTGGGTTGATGGCTACACGGCGAATGATTTTAAACTTGAACTGTGAACTGTGATGGTAGCTCTTTCTCGCGAATTCTCCACTGCGAGGTCTCTGGTTTATATCTCCAAACAACTCGACCAACTGCGACTGCAACATCAACCACCACGACAACCAGCTGAACCCTTTGTTCCCTTCTCTCAGCTTATACACCAAAGGAAGCTCTTAGAATCGCGACTCATCTCCACGCTCGATGGCTGCACCCATCTCTCCCAAATCAAGCAAGTCCACGCTCACATTCTCCGCAACCAACTTCATCAATGCAGCTACGTCCTCACCAAGCTCATTCGTATGCTCACCAAACTTGATGTCCCTATGGATTCTTATCCCCGCCTTGTTTTTGAGCAGGTCAGATACCCCAATCCATTTCTTTGGACTGCTCTCATTCGTGGATATGCTCTTCAAGGGCCACTACAGGAGTCCATTTCCTTATATATTTGTATGAGGAAGGAAGGTACTGGGCCTGTGTCTTTTACTTTCTCGGCGCTTTTTAAGGCTTGTAGTGCGGTTCTTGACGTGGGTTTGGGTCGGCAGATTCATGCCCAGACAATTTTAATTGGTGGGTTTGCTTCTGATTTGTACGTCGGCAATACAATGATTGATATGTACATCAAGTGTGGTTCTGTGAATTGCGGGCGTAAGGTATTTGATGAAATGTCTGAGAGGGACGTAATTTCTTGGACGGAGCTTATTGTTGCTTATGCCAAGAGTGGGGATATGAAGAGTGCAGGTAACTTGTTTGATGGGTTGCCTGTCAAGGATATGGTCGCATGGACGGCCATGGTCACTGGTTTTGCTCAGAATGCTAAGCCTAGGGAGGCCCTGGAATTCTTCGAGAGAATGCAAGATTCGGGTGTTCAAACTGATGAAGTAACGTTGGTTGGTGTCATCTCAGCATGTGCGCAGTTGGGTGCGGCTAAGTACGCTGATTGGGTTCTGGATGTTGCCGAAAAATCTGGTATTGGACCTACTCACAATGTTGTAGTTGGATCAGCATTGATAGACATGTACTCAAAGTGTGGGACGGTGGATGAAGCATATAAGGTTTTTCAAGTGATGAAGGAGAGGAATGTGTTTTCTTATAGTTCGATGATTGTGGGGTTTGCAACGCACGGTCGTGCTGATGCAGCCTTGGAGTTGTTCCATGAGATGCTGAAAACAGAGATAAAACCAAACAAGGTTACGTTTATTGGAGTTCTTATAGCATGCTGTCATGCAGGAATGGTGGAACAAGGCCGTCAAATATTTGCATCCATGCAGAAATATTTTGGTGTTGCTCCATCAGCAGATCACTATGCTTGCATGGTTGATCTCCTTGGTCGAGCTGGACGCTTGGGGGAAGCCCTTGAGTGTGCGGAAACAATGCCAATCGAGCCTCATGGAGGTGTCTGGGGAGCATTGCTTGGAGCATGTCGCATCCATGGTAATCCAGATATTGCTCAAATTGCTGCTGACCATCTCTTTGAGCTGGAACCCAATGGTATTGGAAATTACATCTTGCTTTCCAACATATATGCATCAGCTGGGAGGTGGGACGATGTTTCAAGGGTAAGGAAGCTGATGAGAATAATGGGGTTGAAAAAAACTCCTGGATATAGCTGGATGGAAGCAGAAAAAGGGGTAATTCATAAGTTCTTTGCAGGGGATATGACCCATCCGATGTCCGAGGAGATTAAACAGGCCTTGGAGGATCTGCTAGAGAGATTGAAGGCAATTGGGTACCAGCCTAACCTAAATTCTGCCCCGTATGATATGAATGATGAACAAAAGGAGGCTATATTGATGAATCACAGTGAAAAGCTTGCTTTGGCTTTTGGCCTGATCAGTACGGATGCTGGTTGTACCGTGAGGATTATGAAGAATCTAAGAATATGTGAGGATTGCCACTTGGTAATGTGTGGTGCATCTCAAATCACAGGAAGAGAGATTATTGTGAGGGATAACATGAGATTCCACCATTTCCTTAATGGGACATGCTCCTGTGGCAGTTTTTGGTGATTGTAAGGTGATAGCCAAGAATCTCTTTGGTCATTTAGCCCTGCCAAATGCCAAGAACCTGTTGTGGTATATTTGTACGAGGCCTACAAGCCAGTAAGGAATGTCTTGACACAAATATTTTTAAAAAACAGGATTAGTTGCCCACTGGGTAAAATAATTTATCACAAAATTTCTCCATTTTTTGTTCAATTATCAAACTTCAAATACCTGATAAAAAAATCTTTTAGCTTGAAATTTTTTTTTATCGGCTGTTTGCTTCCATTTTGTAAATCTGATCTTTCCAACTATTACCTCTGTTTTACCGGAAGCTGCTTGTATTAATATCGCTACATTTTCCTGCTGTTATCATGGTATACTATTATGTACACGATCAACCTAATTTCAGGCAATCTTTCTTGATAGATTGCATGTAATTTAAAGTGGATAGTGTAGTTTGTCGCCAGAAAGAAAAGGCCTTGGGAAGTGGATGGTAAATAAATTATTCAAGCATGCCAGTTAGGTGTCCTTTATCTGCACAGGAAACTTTAAGTTCATCATGCAATTGCATTTGGTTGCCATTCAGAAAAGCAGCGGCGATGTTTAAGGTAAAATGTTGTTTTTTTACTACAGGCTGTTAGTTTAATCTTGAAAAATTTAGGAAATCAAGGTACGGAGCAACTCCAGAAGTCATTCAAATCATCGAGAGTTGTATTTACTATTTTTAAAAACTTATAAGTTAGTGTTCTCATTTGCATAATCCAGTAGATTTATTTAGCAAGCTAAAAGGTAGAGGAGATTCTTACCCACCTGGCAGAATTACTAAAATCCATACAAGTCATGGAGGGCTCTGGTCGACATTTCTTAAATACTAAAAGATTCCCACATTTGTCTACCATTTTTGTTTTTTCAATCGGTCTCATGCTTGCATATGAACATAAGAATATTTTTTTTGGATGTATTTGATATGCATTTCAATAAGACTACTATGTTTTGAAGAACTTGACGACCTGGGTATTTTTTCTTAGCAATAAGCATACCTATCATTCATAGTTTCCGAGGCTGTGTTCGTTATTTGGATTTGCAGAGAAAACTATTTTGTCTCATGAAAGTAGCTTTGCAGGAGCTACAATATGACTTCATTTGTTGTTCGAAATAAATGAGGTGGAAGGGGAAGAAATGAAGAGAAAGATTCCGACAAAGATGGAGAATTATACTCCGGAAGGGGAGAGAGAAAACTCTAAAAAAGGGTTGGTCATGCTCTTATGGTTAAGGAGTTGTACAAGTAAACAAATTGATTGACTCAAATATATACATGAAACTAGAATCTTTGCAATTGAGAAGCAATAGCTAACAAACACATACAACAAATATTTACTAACAATATTGTAGTTTAATAATTAAAATATTTGTATTTTATTTAAATATTATAAATTTAAATCTCATTAAAAATATAAAATTTATTACTTTATAGACATATTATGAATTGATGATGATCAGTTTATAATATTTGATTAGTAAAATAAAAGACTTAATTTATTAATGTGTTGGTAGTATTGCGATGATCAAATTTGATTATATTTTAATGAGTTTATAATTTTTATGAGATAAAAAAATATTATATATCTGTTAAAATCTCTTAATTAGAGTAACAATAATGAATAAAAATTTTTAAATATCTTAATTGGAGGTAATATCGAATAAAAAATTTTAATCTTTTATTAATAATAAAAAAAAAGAGTACCGGATACTCAAACTTAAATTTAATTCTAATTTTAAATTTTAGTAAAAGATATAATTTTTATAATTTTTTAAAACTAAGTTATGTAGTATCACAATTAAAAAAAATATATATTATTAAATAAAAAATCTAAAAGAAGGTTTTGACTTATCTTCTTTTGCACATGTATTTATAAAGGTCCCTTCAATTAAAGATTACAAATATAATATTTTCTTTTTTCAATTAAAAACATAATATTTTGTATTTCCTTCAATTAAAGATTCGGTTCACTAATACTTTTATCTATCTATATAAAAATTAAATCCAATATTAAAATATATAAAACCACAAATGTTTCCATTATATTCACTTATCATAAATAACTTAAGGAAACTCATACATTGTGATGTATTGGGGTGTCTTTTAGAGGGAGAATTTGATAGAGACGT